CATGGATAAGATGGGCTGAATGACAACCTCTTTTGCTCTAACAATTTTATGAGCAAATTTGCAGTGGATGTGAAGAAATGATAAATTTCAATAAGCAACAATAGTCTGAGTATTCCTGGAAAAAGAGACACATTTGGTCAAAGCTTTTCATTTTGCACTCATTGGGACAATTTGCACGAAACATTAATATAAAGGGAAAACAACATTAATAGTGTATGAGAGGACAGTGCTGATTGGTTGGCAAATTGATTGATTTATTGTTGTCACATATACTGAGATACAGCAAAAAGTGCTGTACCGGCAGATTGTAACGTACAAAGTGCACCAGGGTAGCAGAACAGAGTCTAGAATACAGTGTTACAGCCATAGAGAAGATGCAAAGAGAGAGATCAGAATTAAGATTTGAGAGGCCTGTTAAAATGTCTGATAACAGTGGGGAGGAAGCTGTTCTTGAACCTGTGCATACGTGTATTCAAACTTTTTTATATCTTTTGCCCAACGGAAGAGGGTGGAAGAGAGTATTCCTGGGGTGGGAGGGGATCTTTGATTATGTTGGTTGCTTTGCCGAGACAGCCTGAAGAATAGTTGGAGTCAGTAGATAGAAGGCTGGTTTGTATGATGGACTGGACTGTATTCATAAATCTGTAGTTTCTTGCAGTCGTGGTAAGAGCAGTTGCCATACCATGCAGTGATGCACCTGATAGAATATGTTCTATGGTGCATCTATAAAAATTGGTAAGAGACCTTGAAGACGTGCCAAATTTCCTTAGTCACCTGAGACATTGTTGTGCTTTCTTGACCATTGTGTCAACTTTGGTGGACTAGGACAGATTGTTGGTGATCATCGCTCCCAGGAACTTGAAGCGGTTGTCCTTCTCTACCTCAGCATCATTTGTGCAGACAGGGGCTGCTCTCCACTCTGCTTCCTAAAGTCAATGACCAGCTCCTTTGTTTTGCTGTCATTGGTGGAGAGATTGTTGTCTTTACACTATGCTGTTAAACACTCAATCTACTTCCTGTATTCTGTCTCGTTTCAGACCAGGCCTACGACGGTGGTGTCGTCAGCAAATCCGTAAATGGAACTGGGACAGAATTTGGCCACACAGTCATAGTCGTAGAGATGTACAACACACAACCATATTCTTTGTCCAACTCGTCCATGCCGACCACATATTCTAAATTAATCTAGTCCCATTTGGCCCATATCACTGTAAACGCGTCCTATTAATATACCCATCCAGATGCCTTTTCAATGTCCTCATCTCCTCCACTTCCTCTAGCAGTTCATTCCATACACGCACTACCCTCTGTGTGAAAAAGTTGCCCCTTACACCCTTTTTAAATCTTTCCCCTCTCATCTTAAACCTATGTCCTCAAGTTTTGGACTCCTGTACCCTAGGGAAAAGACCTTGGCTATTCACTGTATCCATGCCCCTCATGATTTTATATACTTCTACAAGGTCACCCTCTCAGCCTCTGTTCCTGGGAAAATATCCCCAACCTATTCAGCCTCTGCCTATAGCGCAAACCCTCTAACCCTGGCTACATCCTTGTAAATTTTTTCTGAACCCTTTCACGTTTCACCACATCTTTTCTATTGCAGTTGTTAATGTGTAAGGACTATAGTAGGGCCTTGAATGTGCAGCCTTGCAGGGCACTGGTGTTGAGGATTATGGTGGAGGAGGCGGTGTTGCCTATTCTTACAGATTACGGTCTAGCGACCAGGAAATTGAGGATCCAGTTATAGAGGGGAGAGCTGATACCTAGGTCTTGGAGTTTAGAGGTGCGTTTGTTTAGAATTATGGTGTTGAAGCCAGATCTGTAGTCAAAGGTGGTAGTCTTGTTATCCAGAGGGTCCAAGGATGAGTGTAGGGCCAGGGAGATGGCAATTTGGTTGGCTGGAGCTGATGTGAGTCACGACTAACCTCTCGAAATGCTCCATAATTATGGAGGTTAGAGCCACTGGGTGGTAGTCATGAGGCACCTGAGTGATGGTGGTCTTCTTGAAGCAGTTTGGGACTTTAGATCTTAGTAAGGAGAGTTTAATGATGTACGTGAATTTTCCTGCCAGCTGGTTCACACAGGATCTGAGTGCATGGCCAGGCATTCCATCCGGGCCAGTCGCTTTCTGTGGTTTCACTCTCAAGAAGGCCAATCCAACATCTGCAGGGGTGACTGTGGGTTCAGGTGCATTCGAGGCTGTTGGGATATGTGACATCATTTCACTAACCTCCTGTTCAAGGCGAGCATTGAATGCATTGAGCTTGTTGGGTAACGATGTACTGATTCTGTTCAACTTCGCTTTGTAGCCCCTTATGTCATGCAAGCCTTACTATAAACGACGGTTGTCTGTGTGGTTGGTCTGGGTCTCAAATGAACTCTGGTACGGGCGTTGTTGTGAAGAATGATGATTGACAGTTAACTGTCAAGTATTGGTTAAATATTAAACCAGACAAGTTTACATTTGTTAAGGGATTGCCCTGAGAAATTAACCAGAAAGTGACTACCTATCAATTTTATTGAGTTGGTGCAGACAGTGTAATGGCAGGTTTTGTCTGCAAAGAACAAGATCCTGTGTATAATGCGTATAGCTTCCAGTGCATGCAAGTGCACCACACTGAGCCCAACTGACCACATCCATACCTGTAAAACTCCTAAATTACATCTAATCGTACTGTTCTGCAATTGGACTGCATTTGCTAAATACCCCTGAGTGCACAAAGAATTACACTGACAATCAATTTAGGATTGTCAGTCGGGCTTGCAGTATGGTGTGCGTGCGTCTACTTTTTTGTAGAATATCATATCTGTAGACTTATTATGGAGGCATTTTTGTCTTTCCTTCAACCTGCTATCCTTAATTTTTTAAAACTGAAATTTGGCATCAACTAGTTATTGCTTTGTTCATTCCTATCAATATCCATAATGTGCTGCAGTGAGTCTCAGCCATTCATTTGCTGGATAGTAAAAACAGAAGTAAAATAAACACACAATTTTTAAAAGAATCTCCCTCCCTTCGCATTTTTGGTGGGAGACTCACTCAAGTAATCTATTTCAAAAGCACAATAGTGCAGGTGCTTGGAGTCTGAAATATTCACGATGCGTCTGACTCACCCGAATCCAAAACCATCTAGGTACAGTGATGGACTCACTATATCCCTTATCCCAACACCTTGAACTTCATGCTCAGCAAGACACTTTGAGCTCTTCTGCGGATGCTGTAAATCAGAAACAGAAACAATTAAGTTCTGAGGAAGGGTCACCGGACCTAAAACGTTAACTGTAATTTTTTTTTCACAGATGCTGCCAGACCTGCTGAGCTTTTCCAGCAACTTTTGTTTTTTTTCTCTGATTTACAGCGCCTGCAGTTCTTTCGGTCCTTTATCCTCTGCCACCCTGCCCAAAGTGGATCCTCTCACTTGTCTGCAGGATGCTCCTTCTGTCTGGACCCTGCCCCCCGCCCACCTCTTGCGTTCTCTTGATCATTTCATCGAGAATTGACAATGATACTGGCATTGTTAGCTTATCTGCTGCCTTCTGTCTTTCGAACATTTCCTCTGAACTTGCTGCACTGCGTCGTCCCTGTTATTTTTCCTTGAATTAAAATAGGTTGTTATGGATATCCATGTGGGTACGTGTTCAAGCCTGCCATTTTCGTGAGATGTGGATCAAAAAGTTTCTTCCAGTCCTCCTCAGGTACCCTCTGTCAACCCTCTTTTTTTTTTGTTTTGCAATGCACTGATGACTGTATCTGTGCTTTGAGCTGAGAAAGCTGATTAACCTTATTTCCAGTTTTCACCTTCTGCCCCTTCCATCGCTGACTCTCCCCTTCCCTTACTGCCCTGCCTTTTTTCTGAAAATAGTCTAACAATATATATTCATTATGAACCCAATGATTCCCACACCTAGCTCTACATTACATCCTGCATCCTTTCAGATCACTCTATCCTTCCTGCTTCTCTGATACGACTGACCTGGTGATACAAGCTTTCACACCAGTGTTTCTGATGCGTCTCATTACTTGACAACCTCCATCCCCTTCGTGCATCACTCATTTCTCATGCTCACTTCTGCTTTCATCTATTTTCCTTCCTTCCAGAACCAAGATCAGGTTCTCTTTACCCTCACGTCTTACTCTGGAGGATGACTCATTGACTGTTGCTTCTGACACTGTCACTGTGGTTCTAATGCTAAACACACCTTCCCCTTTAACCTTTCCATGAGATCATTTGCTCTTAACCACCCTTCAATCGCCTCAATACCCAGTCCCCTTCCAAGCAAGGGCAAAAAACGCAACCCCTACATTCCTGTCTCCTCCCACATCACCATTTAATGTCCAAACACTCCTGCGTGAAGCTGCAGTTTGTGCTTCTTTCAATTTCATACACTGTATTCAGTCCTTACAATATTATGTTCTACACAAGGGAGACCGAATTTGCAAAGTGTCTGCATTCAGTCTCAAGCACTTGAGGAACTGCACCTTGTCTTTTGATGAGGCACTTTCTAACCTTCAGGCTCAACACTGAGCTCAGCAATTTCAGTCTACAGTCTTTATCCCCTTGGTCTTAATCTTGTGTTTCTCCTGTATTATTTGCATTTGAGTGGCAGTTCATTATTGTGCAGTGTACTGTGGACACCATAATTTGTTTCTTTGCTGTTCCATTTCCATTCCCTTTGATGTCATGCAACCAACTTTTTTTGTCATTTAATGTTTTCTGTATTCCACTATCTCAAATCTTTCCTTTAGTTCTCTATCCGCCCTTTTCTATTTCTCCTGATTGAACCTGTTATGTTTCCACCTTTTGAAAGGCCATCAACCAGAAACATTAACTTGTTGTATTTCTAAACTTTTTTGTTTGCGTTATGCTGTAATCTATTTCAAACCTAATGACACTTGTTATTTGATTTTGTTTATACGTTGAGGTGCTCTGTTTCCATTTATGTTCATGTTTATTTTTATTTAATATTTTCAGTAAGTTAAATTGGATGTTCTCTTCTAGGCGGCCACACGGAAGTATTGGGGTATCTGCATCTTCATTGCAGCCGTAGACTTGAATGCAGTTTCCTTCACTCTGACAGATTTGCAGAAAACATTAGATCTGAAGTAGGTTTATGAATTCGCATTTTATTATTTTCCGTTGACGGTGTCATTTAATCACTGAAATAATTTTTTGCTGAAATTCAGGAGTCTTCTAATTAGTTTAAGCAAATCATTGCTGTGAAGTTGAACTATTTGTAAGAATTGCTTAACCATGTTTTGATATCTGGCTTTGTGCATTGAATTCATCCTGCAAATTTTTATGCAGAGTAATGACATTTGTGTGTACTGTGTTCAGGACACTGTTTAGAGTTTACAGTTTAGGTCAGAAGTCGCATGACACCAGGTTATAGTCCGACAAGTTTATTTGAAATCTCAAGCTTTAGGAGTGCTGCTCCTTTCTCAGGACTTCACCTGATGAAGGAGCAGTGCTCTGAAACCTTGTGATTTCAAATAAACCTGTTGGACTATAACCAGGTTCATGTGACTTCTGACTTTGTCCATCCCAGTCCAACACTGGCACCTCCACAGCATATTGATTTAGGTGCAGTAATTAGGTCTGTAGACTGATCAGTCGAAGTTTTTGAGCTTCTGTGTAGGCTGCAAGTTTGTGTTCATGGGCAGTAGAAGGCCTTGTAATCAGTTGTGGAAATACAGTGAAATAGTAAAAGGAATAACAACACAAGAGACCAAATAGGCAAACAAATGTGCAGTTGATGAGCTCAATTTTTGAAAATAAAAGTTAAACAAAGTGACCAAAGTGAATTAATGCTGTATTAAATCGCTCATGTATGATTAAAAATTAGATCTGTACTTGCGCTGTCCTCAATTATCAGTTTTGGATTTATTGAATTAAAAGCCAGTGGCTTCTCTGAAAGGAGGAAGTATTAGTAAGCATATATTCCTGGTGGCGTGCTCGAGTATGCAAGATTCATTGACCTCCAACCTGAATCCTGTTCAGGAAATGCAATGGACAAAAAACCAGGGGAAACTAATCTCTTAAGAGAGAAGGAGTATAGCATGAAGGGAAGAAAACCAGAATAGTCATGTGTTACTTCAAGAAAAAGAATTAATAAACAGTGCTGAGACATTTGACACACAAGTCTGATGATAAGTACAAATCATGTAGCAGTATCTCTGCCAACGGTGTCTACCACCATCAAGGCATGTAACCTTCTGATCTGGAATGTGAAATTATAATCTAGCATGAGAGCACCTATGATGCTACTCACTTAAATCTGAAACTTACCCCCAGCAGGTAGAGAAAGCACCCTGAGAAATGAATCCGTTTTTTAAAAAAAAATTCTGACATCCAAATGTAAGCATTAATTTTAAACATGTTTAAGTGAATGAACTTGACTCGGGTAAATCTTATTTTTAAGATCATTCAGTAGCAAACGTGGGCAATGTTGGAGAAACTCAGCAGGTGTGGTAGCGTATGGTAGAGAGAGAAGCTAAGCATTTGGAGTCTGTATTGACTAGGGTCATACTGGATTCAAAACATTACGATAGTTTCTCTTGCCACGGATGCTACTAGACCTGCTGAGTTTGTCCGCTATTTTCTTTGTTTCAGATTTCCAGCATCCACAGTATTTTACTTCTGTTCTCTATGTAAATAAATGTTTAAATAATTTTAAGAGCAGAACCATTGCAATAGGCTAGTCAAAAATCATAAAGACATTGAAGTAATTTGTTTTTGTGTGTGATTAGCCATGATCTAGAATGGTAGCACTGGCTTCATGGGCTGAATGGCCTAATTCTTCAATTTCTGTTGTATGTTTAGGGAATCTGTTTTATTGCTGAAAAGTTATAAATGTGTATTATGTCAAATGTATTAATTTATTACAGTTTTTGCAAAGTTGCTTAATTTGGATTACTGAATACTTTTGAAATATTTTGGTTCAAAAAAAGCACTATTTAACAGAAGCCTATTTCAACTAAGTAACAACATAATGTGGACGGTGCTGATAAGTGTTCTTTGACAAATGATTTTCTTTTTCTCTTTCCTTCCTGAAGTGTGACTGAGTTTTTGCAGTTGCTGAAGAAAATGGATGTGAACTTGGACACTGTTAGCACTAAAGTAAATTCACTGGTGTTGAAACTGGAGAAGAAGTGCCTTGTTTTCACTGCACTCTTTGAAAAATTTAAGAGGTAACTTCTAAAGAAAATTTGTTACTATTAAGCTTCTAAGCTTGCAATAATGAAGCATACAGAACAATATATCAGGAGCAGTATCATGCACGTATAAAAATGAGATCAGCCTGGTGAAGCTCCAACACAGGACTGTTTACATGCCAAACAGTGGAAGCAGCAAATGCTAGAGCAGAATGATTTCTCAACCAACAACTCAGATCAAAGCTCTGAAGTCCTTTCCCATCGATTCAGGATTGGTGATGAACAATAAACAACTAAGTCGTGGAGATTGGCAAAGAATATGTGTGGAACCAAATAATGATGATGCAAAAGATAAGGCTGACATATTTACAACTAAGTTAGCTAGGTTGTTCCAGAACAATTACACTTGCATCTACTTGACAATATAGAAAATTGCTCAAGTATGCCCTTTCCACAAGATGCAGAACAAATCCAGCCTTACCAATTGCCATCCCATTTGCTTAATTTTAATCATCACCAAAGTAGTGGAGGGTGATATTGACAATGTTGTAAAGCAGCATGAACTCTACAAAAGCCTGCCCATTGCCCAGTTTGGGACCACATGGCTTCTAACCATTTTAATATGGGTTTATTAGTTCAAGCCAGACATCAAGATATTTCTTCAACAGCATTGATTAAAATATGTACATAATATTGCTGCAGGCATCTCCACCATAAGCTGCTCTAGTTCTAATGTTCTAGCAGTGTATGTCTCTCTCATGGGCCTGCTGAAATTAAAGTTGTATACAGTGTTCCTCAGATGCTCATATGTGTATTTAGTAACCTCTATCCCTAAAACCCCACCTACACACCTCATACATTCTCAGTCGTTAACATTATCAATTGAAAGTAATTTCTTAACACTATCGTCAGAAAGCAGTAAGTATTCCCCCCCCACCCCATCTCTCTCTCGCGCGCGCTCTCTCTCTCTCTTTGCCCGCACCCACCAACCTGCTGGAACAGCTTCATACTTCTCCCTGGTAGGCTGACTTTGAATTGTGCTTTCATCAACTGACATAAAAAGAGCAACATTAGTAACATAGTATGATATTGAACAGACTTGTTGGCTCTGGATGGATTGTTGGGTGCTCATTGATAAGATACCACTTCCACTCGATTGAACTTTGATCTTATCTTTTCCCTGTATTTTTTTTGAAAACGTCATCTGAAACTTAAACACAGCTGAGTATTGAAGCTGCACCATTAAGAGTTAATGGGTATTGCTATTCCTCCTTTTCGACAGTACGGTGATATTTTGAGATTCTTGAATCATATTCTTAAGTTTAGGAAGAAGAACTGAATGAATTATCTGGAAGAATGGTTCAGTATTCATATATGAGCAAGGACTATGGGCTATTGTTGAAAATCATTTCAGACATTGTTCCTTGCAGTGGAAAATCTGCTGGATGCACTGCCTAGACTAAGTCTGTCGTTGTTGTAAACCATTCTAGATTAAAAAGATAAATTGGAATGGACTTTAGCAATATTAGAATTCAAAGGTAAAAGTATTCCTAAATGGCTAGGTGAGCTCAAACAACCTTCTGGGGTCTCATAGAAAAGTAGAATATATTCTCTTGCTGAAATATTGAGGGACATTTGTGTTTGTGAAGAGTTTGTTGTTCTTTATGATCCTGTGCATTCTACAAGATCTCATCAGGCTTGATCTATCTGTCTGTTGGTTAAAAGATTATTGTAACTACCTTTTACGTTTGAGGGTATTGATAGTTCCATCACATCTTCGGTAGCCTCCGTGTAGTGATTTTTCATGAGCACAGCGTCAACTAAACTTGAATCCCTAGAGGAGTAGGTGAATTCTGCTCATCCTGGACTGGAAGAAAATGAGAGGGATCTTGATGTACTGTATCAATGACTGGAAACTGATGTACTGCAAAACGTTCTGAAAATGCTGAAGTTGGGCCTGACAGTAGTGTGACCTCGAGGTGTGTCTCCAAGCTAGGAACTTCTAAAGAAACTAGGCTCATCATCTTCATGCATGACAGGATTTAGAATATCATGAAGCTGGTCAAAATCTTGGAAAAGCTTGGATGCCTTTTGGGGGAAGATCAACCAGTCTTTTTGGTCTAAACTTCAGTTGTTGGAAAAGCTGGGGTAAAATACTGCCCAATCTTCTTTGTAAACAAGATCACTTTCCTGGTCAGACTGGGCAATTCCTCACAAAATGGAATGTAGCCTTAACTTGGCCTGGACTGTCTTGTACTAGCTGCAGATGAGCTAATTATACATAAGCCTTCAACTCAACACTGATCTATTCGGATTTCTGTAAGACATAAATATGCTCATTAATAACTTTACCATTGTAGGTAACTGTTGCTACAAAACAACCTTTAACTTGAAAGGATGTTGTCTCCAAAATCCTCTTTCAGATGTTTTAAGGCACACAGTTTCAAGCTGTTCTAAAATGGTAGGTGACAGAATAACACTTACTGCTGAGTTGAGACAAAGCTTGGTCTGAAAGTTCCTGACTTTTTAAAGATGACTGACCAGAAATCCTGGTCTAGATTGATCCTATACAAGTTGACAATGGTTTCCACTTGACAATGAATGTGTGTAATTTAATAAGAAGAAAACTTAGAAACTTGATGGATTCTGTGTAGACTTCTGAATAGTCTTCATCTATTTGACTTGCTTTTACTAGGTGATCTTGTATTTCATAATTTTTCCAAATTACTAATTCTACCATAGTGAAAGTGTTGAGTGCCCACAGTTGAACAATCTTGTCACCTGTGTGGTCTTGCATTTCAAAATAGTGATTTCCTGTCCTTTCCTGTGACTGGCAGCCTTCTTGTAGTGCAGGGTTGACATTTTTGGACGTAGCAAACTGATGTGTTTGGGCTGATCCTCTGAGTTGCCTGATTTGTATCCTTGTTTCGTACACTTTTTAAAAAAAATTTGGCTTGCCTTGTTTGTGGGATTGTATGCTTATCTAACAGTTGTCTTCACACTGCAAAATTCAGTTTGTCATTGAGGACCATGACCTGTCTGTGAAAAGCTCACACTTCAACATGCTAAAGCTGCAGGAATTGTGCACACTGTATAAGCCACTAAGTCAATAAATCTGCTGATTTCCCCTGGCTTCTGGGATCACTAGTTGAACTGGGCAAGAATAAACATTTAATGTTACTAAGACTGACGAAGGATCTACTGAGGTTTTTTCAACAGCACCTTACCTGATGAGGACATCTTTCTCATATGCAGCCGGTTGCATTGTAGATGTGCTAATATGGAGCTATTTCAAACGAAGACTCGAGACTTTCTTTACCTATGAATGTCCCTTCCACAACTCTCATCTGCATGCCTGTGTAGACATACAGCACCTTCTAAATCCATGACCACTTCCATCTGAAAGGACAAGAGCAACAGATACATCACTACTTGTAAGTTTCCCCCCAAGCCACTCACTTTGAAATATATTGCCATTCATCACTGCTGCAGAGTCAAATCCTGGAATTCCCTCCAAAAGAGCATTGTGGGTAAACCTACAAAACATGGACTGCAGTCATTCAAGAAGGCAGCTCACCGCCACCTTCTCGAGGGCAGCTAAGGATGGGCAATAAATGCTGGTCAGCCAGTGATGTCCATGTCTTGAGTGAATTAAAACAAAAAGGTTGACTGCATCTCCCCAATGTAGAAGAGACCACATTGTGAGCAGCAAATACAGAAAATTAGATTGAATTACTGACATGGCTGCAAAATTGGGGTTGAGTGACAGGTCGCAGTAAGAATAATAGGTTTTCCAAACCTGCAACCACTTCCTTCAAGTTCACTCCAAGTCACTCATTATCCTGACTTGGAAATATCTCACCATTCCTTAAGAGTGTCTGGGTCATATTCTGGAATTCCCTCCATAGGGGCACTGCTGGTCGACCTACAGTAGACAGACTGCAGCGGTTCAAGAAGGCAGCTCATTGCCACCTTCTCAAGGGTAAATAGGGATGGGCAGTAATTGCTGGCCGGCCAATGATGTCTACATCTCACAAGTGAATTTAAAAAAAAATGTAGTTGACTGCAGCCTTGTATGAAATAAACCAAACATATATTCTCGAGCTAGACGTTCATGAGTTATGTTTATTGCGAACCAAATTTTAAAATGTTAAAAATTTACAAAAATGTCCTATTCCCATTACATATTGACACCTACATTCTCCCAGCATGCAAAAATGAAATACAGTTGTACAGGCTATCAGATGTTAAACCTAGCCAACAGAAATGCAGGCATGATGATAGATCAAGAAGAAAAATCACTGATTGAGCCCAGATGTATTTCAGTCAAGGTTAGTATATTTCTTTTCTCCTGGAATCACCTGATGTAGAAAATCCAAAGCCATGTAATAGAAAAACTGTCTACCATAGTTCAGAATTCAGGTGGAGGGTTGTGGAGAAAGTTGTTCACTCTAGCAGCTTGTGTTTTCTGCCCAGATCCCAATTCCAGCATTTATACAAATGGTTTTATCACATGACCTCTCCCTACATTCGTTGTATACTCCAAAGAATAGAGTTCCAGCGCATCTCTCTCAGTTTCTTGTTAGCCCTTGCTTCATGACCAAAATGGCGTTTTTAAAAGAAATTTCAGTCATTAACTCCCAAATGATCATCTTGGTGAGGGAGAAAGGAACTAATCACACTTCTAGGAGTGTCTTTGACTCGGTTGTGACTTCACAGATGCAAATTAGCAGCTAATTCAAGTCAGTATCCGTTGTTTACAAAAATCTTTTAAGGAAATATTCATATATGACCTGAAATGACAAATTAATAATCTGTTTTGCACATCTTCATAATACTGTGCTCCAAAAGTACTTCATTGGTTGGAAAGTGGTGTCCTGTGGTTATGAAGAGAGCTTTGAAATGCAGATCTTTCCAGAAAGTTTTTGAGGAATTCAGGTAAGCAATGGCAAATGGCACAGCATAGGTAAACGCAGTGTGTTACAGGTGGACAGATGGTACTGTCATTGCACTAGTAACCCAGAGGTCCAGACCAGTGTCTTGAGACCATGAGTTTGATCCCACTATGGCAGGTGGTAGAATTCAAATCAAATTAAATTAATAAAAATCTGAAAAGCCTGAAAAAAAAACTTTATTTTTGAAAAAATCCATCTAGTTCACCAATGACCTCATGGAAAAAATGTCTGCTGTCCTTGTCTGGTCTGGCCTAGCTGACTCCAGACCTGAGTTAGGTATGCTCCGAAGTGGCAGCATGATTGTTCCAGCCAGCTAGCCCCTACTCTTTCTGTCATCAAAGACCCAGCAGTTGCTTGACTTGCCTTGATTGGTAAGGGGAGAAGGCAGGAGAGTAAAGTTGAAACATATCAGCATGACCAAATGGTGAAGCAGGCTTGATCAGCCAAATGGCCTAGTTCTGCTTCTATGTCTTATGGTCTAATCTGTGAGACAGCTCAACCAATTTTGGCTCTAGCCCCCGGATGTTAGAAAGGATGACTTTCTAGGAGCTGTTTGTGCCATTGTCTTTTTCTGGTGCCTTGGTCAATGTCAGGTTTTTTATTTCTTTGTGAGACTCCACAGCGATTGATTACAACTGAGTGGCTTGCTGTGCCATTTCAAAGGACAATTGAGAGTCGACCTCATTGCTCTGGGTCTGGAGTCACATGTAGGCCAGAGCAGGTGAAGATGGCAGATTTCCTTCCCAGAACTCCAGAGAGTCGATAATTGACAAAGTTTTCATTGAATTCACATTCCACTATCTGCCATGGTGGGATTTGAACCTGGGTCCTCAGAACAGTAGTTGAGTTTCTGGATTAATAGTTGAGCGATATTGCCTCTCCAATTGATCCTTGTAAATCCAAGCCCCTTAGAACCAACTGTGGAAGAGAGAGGAGTCAGTCAGTTCACCATACCTGAGCTGGTCATAACAGTAGTTATTGTTGTAATGTAGGGAACACAGCAGCTAGTTTGCATACCAGAGACCCCCACAAACAGCAATGTGGAATGACCAGGATTTTTTTAATGTTTGATGGATAAATATTGTACAGAATCAGGAGTACCTACCTGCTTCTCCTTTTGCATAGTGTCATATGATCTTCTGTGCCTACCTGTAAAGGCAAGTAGGACCTTGATTTAATATCTCACCCAAAGCACATCACTTCTGACACAGTGACATCCCTCAGCCTAGCACTGGAGTGACAGACTTAATTTTTGTGGGAAGTCTGAGAATGTGACTTGAATCCACAAGCTTTTGATTTTAGACATGACCACAAGATGGTAAATTTGTTCTTCGTGTGAACCTGTTGACTATTCCCCCAACATTGCTGTTTAGGTTATTAGTTAGAAAGTGAGTTCTGGTGGGCCTCTCTCAAATCCGCTGGTACACAATCACTGACTGCAGGTATTTGCTGAAATTATACTAGTTTGAATGTATTGCTGTCTGACTTTCTTTAATTGACTTTAATTGCCATTTTAAAAGCGATCAGTAAGGTTTTGTTTCAAATGTGTAACAGAAGTGAGCAAATTGACTCTTCATAGTAAAGAATATTTTGGACGAAGATTTCACATATTGAGCTTATTTCTGTTTGTTTCATCAATTCTTCTGTAGAAATGAGAGAAGGTCCAGCTACAACTGTACACTTAATTCGCTGTGCATTTTTATGGCACCTCAGAATTTTGTAAACGTGTGAAAAGTGTGCTTCAGAAGTTGTGAATGACATTCCCTAAAAATGTAACAAAAGCTGTTTTTATTTTAAATTTGCAGGATATGTGAAAAGATATTTGTGGAGACACCAAATATCCAGTAAGTTTTCAATTATCTTTCATTTCTTTAGAACTTTTTGAATAATGTCATCATGCTTGACTTTGTTTCATTTCTTAACCAGGGCATCATCAGAAACTAATAAACCAGTGGTGAAAATCTGCTGGATCACATTTCTACTGGCAACAGGTCTGTTCTTTCAAAAAAAATAGTTATTTTGAGAAGTGTATGTATTGAGAGCTGACTTTTGGAGTTGTCTAAACTATTCCCCAAGAACCCCAAGTGATTCTTGTTTTCTCTCTTGACTCTAATTTGCCATTACCCTGGATTAATTAAAATTTATTGGAATTTTATTTTCAGTGCCCCCTTCCTCATAAATGCTGAGAAGACATCATTGAGTCCCTCAGTCCCTGCCCTGCTTGCACCATCTTCTCTAATGCTAATTTCCCAAGGGTGTCAAAAAACTGCAGAGAGATAATTGCTGCATTACTTAACAGGTCTTTCTAAACCTCTACATTCATGAAATCTAAAGACAAATTCAGTTATTTACAAAATATGTTTACTTGATTTAAAAAATAGTGAGATTACTATACAGCATAAAGCAGCAGATCAGATCAAGGACAGCTTAGAGCCTAAATGTTTTGATCATTATTGAGCGAGGATATATGGGAGGCTTTGAATAAAGTGAGTGAGATTTTTGATTGAAACCTAATGGAAAGATTGTTCGATGTTCGACATTGTAGTAGATTTTGTAAGATTCTCTTCTGTCGTAATTAAATTTAGTGTCCTCATTATGTATTGAAAATGTTTCCAGCTTCTTTAAGGTGCTTTTTATTTTTTAACACATTTAGAGATTATTATCTTAACACATTTTTAATCAAGTGTGTTGGTAAGAATTGAAGCTTTTCACTAGTTGTAAGATCATAAGACCTAGGAGAAGGAGTCAGCAATTCAGCCCCTCAAGCCTGCTCCATCAATCATTAAATTATGGCTGATCTCATCTTGGTCTTGACTCTACTTTCTGCCCACTCCCCACAGCCCTTTAACTATTTCCTCCTTAAATGTATTCAGTGTGCCAGTGTCCACCACACTCTGGGAAAGTGAATTCCACAGTTTCATTCCACTTTGAGATGTTGTTCCTATGGTAAAAAATGAAGGTGATATTGGTCCTTGTATTTTCATGAGAAATGTATCTTTTATGATGGTTTACCAGAGTAGCAGTAAACAGATGTGGTGAAGAAACTAGTCAGTGGTGCACAAGCATTAAAGCAAATATTGAAAATTGAAGTATGTAACTCTTACCTTGTCTTTTAAGGCCCATTGACATTTTCAAGAATGTTTTATAGCCTTGTAAATAGTGCAAGAAGCAAACCAGTTAGCAATTAGTCAATGTATATTTTGTAACATTTCTGAAAATATATGTGGAAATTAAAAGAAACATTGTAGGGTTAAACAGAAATTTTTCTGTACACTTGGCATGATTTTCTTATATTAATATTGGTCTGTTCTTAATGTTAAACACTGGTTCAAACCTGGCCTGAACACCTGGATGATTATTCACAGTTGAATGTACAGAATGGAAGTGAAGCTTGGAGATAGCCTCTGTTAGGACTGGCAAATTGTAAATAAGTGAAGTTTAAGGGGATGTGAACACTTAGCAGAATAAAGAAGCAAACTTCTTGTTACCTTCCGATAGATGCACATAGGAGAGGGCCAAAACCTGATGGGCAGAAATAAAGTGAAAGGAGCCCCAGGGCACAGGCACATGGGATTGATTGATCCAATAGAACCTCTCCATTATCTAACACCATCCCCCCCACCTTTTCTTGCCCACGTTTGAGTAAAGTGTCAACAAGCTGAATAGTAAATGAAGGGATGACCTATATCCTGATTAATTGAGGCACAGAGATAATTACAAAAAATTAAACATAAGGTGGTGATGGAGATAAACCACAAGGCTGGAATAACATGCCAAATATAAGAGTTGCATGCCCAGGGTCTAACCAAAGTAACAAGTAGTCCAAAACTGTACAAACTAATTAAGGTAGAGCAATCATAGCAAGTTATCAATGTGATGGTGTCAAAATAGGACAGTAAGGAAGATTTTACACTACAGCACGGTTGGGTCACATGTTGGACAACAATGCAAAATTGCCGAGCAGAAACTGATGGCCAAATTCCATACCCATGAAAACGCCTCAACCATGATTTTGGTTTCATGTCACGCTACATGTGACCCCACCGTACTGCTCTGTAAAATTTTCCTTACTGTCCTATTTTGACACCATCACCTGGATAACTTGTTATGATCTCTCTACCATGATTAGTTTGTACAGTTTTGGATTACTTATTACTTTGGTTAGACCTCGGCGTGCTACTCTTATACCCAGCACGTTATTCCAGTCATTTGGTTTGTCTCCTGCACTACCTTTTAAGTTTTTGTAATTATGTCTGTGTGTCAATTAATCGGATTAAATGTCATCCCTTGTTGTTCAGCTTTTGAGACTTTACTCACACCGTCTGACACTCTTGATCACTTGCAGAGACTTAGTATTCGGCCTGTTGACACTCAACTCGCATTCTTTGTATGATCTTTTGATCTCTCGGATTATAAAGTCTGTGCTTGGGTGCTCTCTTCACTTTGCCTGATGAAGGGGCAGTACTTCAAAAGCTTGTTTTTCAAATAAACCTGTTGGACTCTGACCTGGTGTCATGTGACTTTTGACATTGTCCACCCCAGTCCTACACTGGCACATCCACCTTTAAGTTTTCAGACTCATTTTGCCAAAACTTTTCAATTTATATCCTAAATTATTCCCTGAAATGAATATTTTCCTTTGTTTCATTAACATCCACTAAGTGTTTCACCAGAATGAAAGTTTGGACATCTCAATTGTATCAGAATCTTCCAAAACATCCATTTGTGCTGCATTCAAGCAGTTTCCTTTCCATGTAAAGAAATTCAGTGTGAAAAGTTGTTTTCAGCCACCAGAGGGTATTATTGTATGTCCGTTATTCATTTCATTTGTTGAATATAAAGTTTTTGCAGGAAATGTGTGATCTGTAGGTTTGCCAAGTTCAGTGGAAATTTAATTTGTTGTAAAGTACAGTGATATTCTTCAGAATTATTAACTTATAAGTGTAAATTCATTAAGGGTGGTGATGAATGCTCGGAGAGTCTCAATTATCAGCATAAAGAATAACCACCATGTCTTAATTTGTGTTTATGAATAAAAATTGTACATGTTAGCATTTTTAATGATCTCTATTTGAAAGAGATGTAAAATCCCTAGGCACTATCTGAGCTTAGATATTACTTCAATATTTCTAGAAACTTCAGATTTTTGTTTTGCTTGAAGGATAAAGCTACTTTTTGTTTACTTTTTTTATTTTTTAAAATTCATATGGAATTTGTTATGCACTATACACTATTTCAGTTCTTTAGGTATCAAGAAAAGTGGTTTTGTAAACAAAGATATATTGTTCTTTTAGTCTTAAGCTGTACACTTACAGTTCAAATAAACTGCAATAAGTCAGACTAATTTTTTGCCTTTGGTACTTGCATTCTGCTTTCAGGAAAGCTGCTACAGATGGAAGATGACCTTGTGCTCTCTTTCCAGTTGTTACTTTGTATCTTGGCGTACTTTATCAAGATCTCACCCCCTGCAATGATTAAGGAACCTTACAGTAGGTTTTAAAAATAGCAATTAAATTTGGTTTCCATTTTTATTTTTGAAAATGTAACCATTCATTAGTTCCTAGAAAGTTTAATTTTGGAAATGAAATGATGGCTGTATATTTATGTACCACTAATATTTATTCTGTCTTAAATTTACTTTTGTTAAACCGAAGTATTGTACAGATAGATAGTTAGTTAGTTAATGGAGTTAAATTATAATCCGAAAACCACCAGGTGACAGTGAGTTGCCAAGTCGAGTAACAACATCTTGAGTGAGGTTATCAGAGGGTGCCTGGTGCCAGTGGAGCCATATCCTATCAATAGTCATACTTTTAGCTGACCAGGGGAGGAAATTGGCATAAAATTAAAAGGAACAAGGAATGAAGCTTGCAAACACACGAAGAACCAAGCTTCACAATTCTATAATCGCACAACTTTTAAATCAAATATTATAATTAGCTAACTATCTACCAACGTAAGGAATAACAATTTAAAGAAAAAAAGCTTGGATATAGCTAATTTTGAGATTAAAATAAGAAACAAAATTAAAGAACCATTACTAAAAGGATAAATGTTTTTGACATAAGTTGCATGAAGGAAGGCATAGCTAATAGTACCTTTCCTACTACTTTTGAGTATGATATTTCTCATCTTAGAGATTTAGTGGAGCTTTATGGTGCTGATTGTGTAAACAGTAAGAGAGCTGTTCAAGTACATTCAATTATTGTGGGTTTATTAGCAAGCCACTGGGTTTTACTATGAATTTGGATTCTCCTTTTATTCACTGTGCTAATTTAAATGATGTGACCGTTCATCCCAGACCTGACAATGCTTAAATATTTGACTATTGTAAATGTTACATCTGGAGAGATCAGTAATTTACTAAACATTAAGACTAGGACAGGTCTGGAATATTCTACTGGAAGAGGAATTGTAAACTTGGTTATTTCCGTTAAATGAATACTTGAATAGGCACGTCACAAATAATATAACTTATGAAAGTCTTTTTTTTTAAACTAAAGTCTTGTAACCAACTTGGTATTCTATATTTTCACATCTTCCAGGTTCATTGAAGAAAGTTACTTACCAGCAAGTAACAGTTGGTTTTGAAACTTCTTGTTTTCAAGTTATGTTGAATGGCTTCAAGTCCTCAACTTATGTTGGTTCTTCGATTGCTTAACTCCAAAGATTTCTCAACTCCAAAGATTTCTTTAATACTGAGACTAAATTTATTTCTGTTAGATTTTTTTTGTGCAGAGGTGCAATGCATTTTGAGAACCCAGTGTACTTTGAAACAGTCTTTTAAGGCAGTTGTTCATTTTTGGTAATCACATTTTAAAAGCAATATATTAATAGGTAGTTAGTGGCATATAACTTCACAGGTGCAAGTAAAAGCTTGTTCCATGCAAGTTATTGGCTCATGAATCTTGCCAAGAGTTGCCTCAGAAATCTATAAAGAAGGATTAGTGCATTAACTTGCTGTCTTATTAAAGTGTGAAATCCCTGTTTTATTATCAGACCATGGTATGTTCCTTGATTTCATCCAGGCCATGCTGCAATTATTCTCAGCACCCAGATAAGAAGAATTGGGGTGAGAATTTACACTGCTGATTTGTTACCTATTGACCCATTTCTTCAAATGGTGGAAGTGTTCCCTTTGCACTTGCGTAGGAGAATATAACTGTTTTAGTATGTCATGTGTTCTTGATGACACACCTAGTTGTTTTTGGAAATTATTTAAATAAAATGCTAAACAAAGTTTTTAAAAAGCTTTCTATTGTTTGGAACAGTATTTTTTTAGATTTGGAATATGGGTGTCACTGGCTAAAGCAGCATTTATTGACCATTCCTAATTGCTCAGGAAGCAGTTAATTTCCTTCAACAGTAAACGTGTTACAACAATTGATAGCGTATATATAGTTGCCATTGAGACAAATTCTATTCTGGATTGTTTATTATTGAATTCAAATTTCACCATGGTGGGATGTGAACATATGTCCCCAAAACACTTATCTAATTACTAGTAGAGTGAACTTACAATTACATTACCACTGCTCCTTATAAATAAATCTCTCTCAAGGTGAAAAGGGCATTTATCATGGAGTGACATGGAAGTCTTTTAACTTGTTTATGAGATGTGTCTGTTGTTGCTTAGGCCAGCATTGTTGCCCATTTCTAACTTCTCCCCCAAAAAAGGTGATGGGTGAGCTACAGCTCATCACACAGCTCTGACCAGGCAACTCTCCCAACTTAGTCATCTGCCGTAGATGTAGTGGAAGGTTTTATATGTTGATAATTAATCTG